ACACCACCACTTACGGTGATTGAATGAGCACCGTTCAGTGGGACCGCATCGAATTCGATTTTTAAGTCTGTGTTAGGGAATGCGCTGTTTTCAGACATTCGGTGATAATTTTGATCACCATTGCAACAGTTGGACATTTGGTATTTTTCAATAGTGACCTATTGAAAATTAACTAAGTGTTCATTTTAGCAGATTGGTAGATAGATTGCCAATCGTTTGGCTTGTTTAGAATTAAAATCTATCTGATATTGGTCGAACACTGACCTCTTTTCGTAATGCTATGCATTTGGGTTTTTTTTAAATTGCGTGGATTCTATAGATCCTGTGGAGATCTATCTAGGCCTGATGTATGTGTTGGTAGAGGGAAACATGTAAACTTTGCGGGAGACGATGCTTAACACTCGAAAGCAATTTTGTGAAATATGAAGTAAAACAAATCCTAGCTAGTTCTGTTTGATGATTTTGTTTGATTTTATTTATTTGTAAAGTCGCCGGGAAATACCAGCTGGCGATTTGTTTTTTAAGATAACTACTTACTTGAAAACAGGTAAAAACTCACAAGGCTGTTTTTTTCATGGTATACAGTGTGATAATTCAATAATCAATAAATTATCTCAACATTTAGTGGCAAACTATTCATAAATTTTGGTAACATACAGAAAATTCTATGATCCACATTAAATTTCATATGTAAGAGCCGATTGAAACAATCTTTTCGACGTCACTACAAGGGTGATTGATTAAACGAAAGAAACAAATCGTGCGGAATGAAAGCCGAGGAAAAACTAATTGCATCAATATATTCAGGCCTACAATTTCACACCTTATATAGACAGGTTGAGCCTTGATAGCTAGCTGCTTGCGGGAACTGATGACCTTGACCAATGTCCAAATAATACTCTTTAACAAATTTTTGGTGGCCCTGAAAAGGACCGTTTTGTAGTTATATTTGAGTAATTCTGAGCTAGGTGTTCAACACGGATGAGGCTGTCGGGCTGTATGTCGTTTGGAGTGAGGGTGACACGCTTGGCATAGATGACCGACCCGCAGCGACAATGCTGGACATTTACCAGTTTTTCAATAGTTTATTGTTGAAAATCAACATTCGGAAACATTGTTATCGATGCTTAGTCATATTTCTGATCGATTGGTGATAAAATTATTGAAATTGAACCAGGGGAAGCTGAGTTATTAACGGTCAAAATCTTTCATAATTTTGTAACATGTTCCATTTTCGGTTTTCACGAAGTGTACCCTCGTATAGAAATCAAAGACGTAGTCCTACGTCAAAAAGCAAGCATCCTGATTGAGTGGCAAAAAATAAAACAAAAGATTCCAGTTTTATATGTGGATGCTCTATTTATAAAATATCGAGTATCGCTTCATCACGCATGTTAAGAACTCGAAATGTATTTCAACTGTCACCTCACAGAACGAATTATGGTAAAAATGGACCAATTAATAGAATGATGAGAGTGTATAATAATTATTGTGAGCATATAAATCTAACGATGTCTAAAGATACAGTAAGGAGAACACTAACTGCTAGGATTTCATCTCGTTAAGTTTAAAACAATTTTTATTTTTTAGATATTTGTATATGCAGTCTACATTTACTGACAATTTCAAATAAAACGTATGTTTTAAAATAGCGTGTAAGGCACCAGCATTATTGTAAAACGGTCTACACTGATTGACGACAAAAAAAATAAATAAATAAATGGAAAACTATCTCCCCAACGTCTACAGCGTTATCACAACCTATGATAAAGGTGACGTCATTAATAAAATATTTTAGAATTTCAATTGTTTGTCTTCTGCCCATGTTGTTAAAAACTGTATGTATGAGGTTCTCAAAAGAGAGCCTCCTCCGACCGTCAAGGATTGTTGATATCGTTCTCTGCAGGTGCGACCACGCCGGCGTCACTCGTGAACATTCATATAATTTGTGCTTCAATGTTTCTATTGCTCCATTACAGTGCTCGTTGTTGACTCGTCGAATTGTGTGCTCTATCTTTTCGTTAACGAGTAGATACCAGCTACTACGCTGAGCTGAAGAGAGTCTTCTGCTTCCGATGTTAAGCCACACGCGCTTCCAATTCACTGCAGGATAGCGCAATTCCACTCTCGGTTGATCTGTTTGGTCAAGGAAAAAGCGGTGAATTTGATCGGAGGAAGGGTTTTGTTGGATTTGTTGAGGCAAGCGAGGGTATGCTCGCAGGATTGTTTTTAGGCAAGGGAGATCAGCAGGGGGATTGTTGGGATTTGTGTGGGTAAGAAAGGAATTATAAAAGGGAATGGAGCCGATCTCCTTGAGATGCCGATTGATCAGCAGCGCTTTTGCTTTGAGCACCGGCAGCTGTAGTTTCAGTCCTCTTGATCCCGTGTCCGTGCTAATTGTTGCATTGGCCCACGCCCTGGATGCCTTCTCCATAGAAATGTCCCCATGTTAACTGTTATTTTGGCAATATGAACACAGTAAAGTGGCAATACGGACGAAAGATACCAAACCTTGACCGTGATGAAGGTGTTGAGAAGGACCACCTTTTGGTAAAGAGTAAATGTACGCAATGAATGCAGCCACACCTGTTGCGACATTTTGCCTATCAGCATATCCCAGTTAAGTGTGATCATGTGCCGTAAAGAATTGGCAAAAATCACACCCAGAATTTTTATCTGATTTTCTGTGCTCATCCAATTCGCTTGAATCGGGTTTCCATTAACGAAACCGACATCCATGGACGTTGTTTTGTGTAGGTTAAGTACGGCTCCAGACACACGCCCGAAGCGATGGAATGGATGGAATAGGTCTCGCATTGTTTCGATCTTGCTTGCCGATGTAGTGCTGACTGTGATATCATCTGCATATGCCACGATCAAGTCGAAGCCACACACTCGCTCGAGGGAATCAAAATAATATCAAAATATTAATTAAACCGAAATTAAAAAAAAAGCATATCAAAATATGTTATCAACGTGATTTCTAAAACATAATTTGATATTATTTGAACAGTATTTTGATATCAAGCTATTTTAACTTTTATGTCGGTCTAATTCATACCAATTTAAGGTATCGAGATATTCGTTCCTGCTCGGGTTACCAGTAGCTACAGAGCTGTACTCAGGATTTCAATTCAGGTGGACAGCTCTCATTTTTGCGCCCGCTTTTTTTTTTTTTTTTATTTTATGATGCCCTCATCTTATTCACTAAAAGAAACGATTCTCTGACATGGAGTGAGAGTTGCTCAGCGTCTAAGTCTGCGTTCCATTTGGGGAATTTTCAATTAAATTTGATTGATGGAAAATTTTAAAATAACACTTCTATTTCACAGCACTTATTTTTGGCAGGCAAGATAAAAAAAAACACGTAGTTGAAAATCAGTCGATTAACAACAAAGGAATTTTCAAACATTTTATTTTATATTGGAAATGTCAAAATTAAGTGACATTTCTTCAAATGGAACACAGCAAGTGAAAGATTTATTTACAATCATATCCTTACACTCCCTGTATTGAGCATTGCACGGAAAGATTTAACATAATTTTCGTTTCCAGTTTAGGGAAATTGCTTATAAGGTTTTAGAATTTGTCACACAAGAACGAAACAGGCAATTTTCATGATTTTTTTTATAAAAGTCGCCTGTAAACATAGCGTGAACTTTTGATTGTAGAGCCTTCAATGTACGGAAATCCGATTATTGTTTGTTTCGAAGCTATAAAGCGAATTTCAAAGCAACCGTTAATCAAATTTCTAGTATCATCGATACATTTCAAGTGCTTGCATCGGGCTTAGTTGTAACTCCCGGTTCACATGAGAATTACCTTTCGAACCTGAATTCCACTGATGATATTGACTGTAATCCACCACCAACGTTTAGACTCAATTACCCCAATCACCTAAAACTCAGCTCCCAGCGCGAGGCACCGGTCGGCTAATGACATTATCACGTTGAAAATCTTAAATCAATTAAAATTAACACCGAAAGCTGTTTCAATCAATTAATTAACAAGCTTAAGCGTTTTGTTTCCTGCATCAGTTTTCCTCTGATCACAGCCTGAAACACTCGATAGGGATATGTGTATGAGCTTTCAATTCCCAGAGCTTCCTCACTGTTAGTGTCCCGCGCCGCTCGCTTCCCAACTGCTTCATTGACTTGTTACCAAGCTGTACTGGGGATTCATAAACCATCTCGACCTCTCCGGTTGTATCAATATATGATGAATAAATTAACTTTCATACATATATGATGGCCTGGCATGGCTTCCGCTGTGGAATGGAGCGGAGTGGATCCCAAATCCTGGTCCGATTTGAACAAACGATAATAAATGTATAACATGTTGCCGAGCAAATTGTCAGCCTCATTTCCACCAGCAGTCCACCCACTAACGCACCACTCATCGACGGTGGCTGTGGTGTGGCGGAACACAGATCGGAAGTATGAGGTCCAGAACCTATCTGAACTGCTGTTGCACACGTGTCGTCTCCGTTCCAGTGAGTGAGGCACAAAAAAGTAAACTGAACGCATTTGCTGGGTTCAGTAAATGATCTAAGGGGGAGTAACGATCCTTCCGGAACTGGTACTTGATTTCAATTTAGGGTTATTTTAAGTACTTGCATAGTTATTAATGGGGAGTTTCAAAGTGTCTCGTTGTGTAATAAAGGTTAAAAAAAACCCAAACACGCAAACCCCGACTACACCTATGCAAATGACCGGCCTCAAAATAAACCTATCCTGGAAGTGGTAGTGCGGTGCAAAGCTGTGACATTTATAAAGTTATAATAAATGGGCTTTGAAGCGTATGGCATCAACAATCGAGTTCATCGAGGAAGAGCAAGCCAATAGGGGACCGAACGGGGGGTTTGATATGGGAAATCGAAAACTGCAAATTGGCCGCGAACTTGCAAGCTTACTGGCCAGTCAGTACTCTGTGTACTCTCTGTAGTAAGTAGGATGCAGAGGCTAGCTCTGCTAGGAGAGAAGCGTGATGTGATTAATTACCTGTCGCATGGCCGGCGAGTAAATCCCTAGACGATGAGCCTGGTTTTGTTGCGTTCACTCCTAGGGCACTGACACGGACCGAGAATCTCGCGCCTGATTTCTGACGTTTCTCATTAATTCCTTTGTACAGCCACGAGATAGCACACGGGATGGCACCGAGGTCCGACGGGGGCGAGGCCAGCGTTCCGAACATGGTGCGGGTTTGTCCTGTGGGAGAAGATGTGAAAATTATTGTAGATTTTATCGATGCAGAACGTGAGTTTTAAATCATTAACCTGTTGGATGCAAGCTATACAGTTAGAAATAACGTGAACAATTGCATAATTGAAACCATTACATGTAAAATTAAGTTCCCAGAGCTCGAAACATATGTTGCTTGACTAATAGTAAGTTTGCTTAAGCTGGATTTCACGACTTTCATGATTGTATTTTATGTAAAATGTAACGTTCGACATGTCAGTCTGCGTCAGCACCGTAAAATATATGCCCACTTTATAAATTATACCATATAATCCGTTATTCTTATAACTTAGCCGTAGAGTAATCGACAATTCAAAAATAAATTAATTCATGTCATATAGATCGAAACACATTTTGGAAATGGCAAGCCCACCTACATTCAAAAATGCTAAATACCCTTTACTTTACCTGATTCCTAGTCTCAAACAACACGAAAAATATATCCGAGGCAAGTGCTCCACCCACTCGCGGAAAACTTGATGCCATTTGCTTCGTCGGCTCGGTTTTCCGTTCCATTGGTGGCGGTAATCCAATACCCCACTATCAGCCACTCCGGCTGTCAGTCCCTTACTGGTGGTGGGGGAGGGGAATGGGCACAGTTCAAACATATCGGCTTCGATCTATTTGGCAATGTGTTTTATCGCCCCTGGAGCGATTTATTGACACCCCTTTTAAATTTTTAAAAAAATTTTTTCGTTTCTGCCGTTCGAAAGCTGGTTTTGTGTTTTGCATTTCGGAATCCTCCTACGATGATTGTGTCGCGCAGTGGTGGCATTGGCGATATTGACGACGACTTCCATTAGTTTGAATTTGGAGAGCATTTATCTTGTTGAGAGATACTGTCGAAGTACCACGCCGCAGTGGAGCTTCTGGGGGAATGGGGGGGAGGATCACGGCTGACGGGATAACGGAATTTGGTGCCTGCTGTGTGGAATTGGTGAGTTTTTTTTTCGAGGCAGGGGTGCGGTATGGCATTCTGAATTCAGGATACTAATGCTTAATGGTATTGAAAATCAAGCAGTTGCTGGTAAGTTTTTAGAACGAATGTTTTAGATTATATTAGTAGTAACGTTCAATCATTTCCAAAGTGGAAAGTGAAACATGTGCAACTTGATTCCAGTTTCTAGAGCATACCACTCTTTCTTGATCTAGTTCTAGTAAAGTTCTAGCCTGAAAAAGTGCCCTTAAAGGGTGATACGGTCAAAATTTGGTCAAGGTAAAACGCGTGTAAATCGGTGAAATCGTTTATTTAAAAAATCAAATTAAATTTCTTTTTCAAGTTCAATTAGTATAAAATTCAGGAAAAATATTCAGTTAGGCCTCCGCTTTTCCAAATCCGAATTGCCGGGCCTTACGCTTGACCCCTGCCATCAGATTTTGTACAGCCACCTTGTCCACCTTCTTCGCCGCAGAAAGCCAGTTTGCCTTGAACTGCTGCTCGCCCTTAGCAGTTTTTTTTGGTCTTCTTTAGGTTCCGCTTGACAATAGCCCAGTATTTCTCAATTGGGCGGAGCTCTGGCGTGTTGGGAGGGTTCTTGTCCTTGGGAACCACCTGCACGTTGTTGGCGGCGTACCACTCCATGGCCTTTTAACCGTAATGGCAAGATGCCAAATCCGGCCAAAACAGTACGGAACAACCGTGTTTCTTCAGGAAAGGCAGCAGACGTTTATTCAAACACTCTTTCACGTAAATTTCTTGGTTGACAGTCCCGGAAGCTATGAAAATGCTGCTTTTCAAGCCACAGGTACAGATGGCTTGCCAAACCAGATATTTCTTTGCGAACTTTGACAGTTTCATGTGCTTGAAAACATCTGCTACCTTTCTCCTTCCTTTTGCCGTATAAAACTCCTGTCCCGGAAGCTGCTTGTAGTCGGCTTTGACGTAGGTTTCGTCGTCCATTACCACGCAGTCAAACTTCGTCAGCATCGTCGTGTACAACCTCCGGGATCGCGCTTTGGCCGTCGTATTTTGTTTATCATCGCGATTTGGAGTCACTACCTTCTTGTAAGTCGATAGTCCGGCTCGTTTTTTGGCTCGATGCACGGTTGTAGACGATGCACCCAGCTTATTTGCGGCATCTCGGAGAGAGAGGTTAGGGTTTCGCTTGAAACTACCGGCAACTCTCTTTGTCGTCTCAGCGGCTTCCGGTTTTCGATTTCCCCCCGATCCAGACTTCCTGGCTGTCGACAAACGTTCCCCAAACACTTTAATTACATTTGTAACGGTTGATTTGGCAACTTTTAGCGATTTTGCCAACTTTGCGTGCGAGTAGCTCGGATTTTCGCGATGCGCGAGCAAAATTTTGATACGCTGCTCTTCTTGCTTGGACGGCATTTTGACAACTGAAGAGTGAATTCCAAAATCAAAATAGGAGCAACATTCTACACACACACACCTTCAAAATGAGGGGTGTTCAGGTTTTTTAAATGCAAAATTGAAAGAAATACGTCAAGTTGATATTGACCAAATTTTGACCGTATCACCCTTTAGATAAAATTGACTCCAGGTACAGGCAAAGAGTTAACTTCACTTATAGTGGAATTCAGCATGTCTCACTCCTACAATTTTAATCGAATTTCTTTATAATTTGGACATAATAACATTGTAATTCTCATTTAAATTCATCTGAAAATGTAAAATCTTGCGCTGAATCCAAAAATTTAGTCAGAAAAAATTTCAGTAGGATAGTTTTCTAGATACAGCTTATAAATGAGCATTCACCTAATAAAAGTTTGTTTACTTAGCTACAAATATCCCCGGCTGTAATGAAGCTATATCAATTTTTCCAATGCCTAATTAAAATCGAGAAAATTTTCTTTTAATCAATTTTTTAGTAAGATGAGTGGTATTGTTGACACAACCACTTCAAATATTTGTATTTACCTTGCTTAAATTTTTTGCTGAATTCCAATTTTTCTTGGAACAATGCAAATCATAAAAAAAATAAACGAACTATTAATTAACAGCAATACCACTAATCTCACTGACAAATGATGTTCAGTGGATCAGAATGAATTTTTTTCACCTTTTATTTGATGTTCAAATCATTGATATAACTTCATTATATCCGGAGATAAATAAACTTTTTTAAGTGAATTTCAATTTTTAAGCTGTATCTAGAAAATTATAATTCTTTGTAATTTTAGAGATTAAATTTTCAAGTTATTTTTTTTTAACTTTTACTTGTAACTACTAGTTTTATAGATTTCTGTTCAGAAATCACAAATCCCTTCGTCCTTTAGAAGACAAACCACTTGAAACTTTCTTTTGAATTCTGTTGAAACTTTCCTTGAAATAACTTTGGAACACTCCTCGGAAATGACTGGAAACTCTTTTGGAATCCCACAGAAATTTCCTAAAACTCGATCCAAATAGTCCTTTGCATACCAAAGATGATGTAAATTATGCTCTTGAATCTCTGACTACTTCTATAGTTGAAGCAAGAGCTGCCTCAGTACCAAAATGCGAGGTTAAATTCGATTCAATTATAATAGCCGACGATCTTTAACTCTTCATCCGTTGGAAAAATGTCCGTAGGAGACAATATCAAATAAAACGCGATTCTGCCATAAAAATTATCTGGCGGGATTTTGAAAAACAAATTAAAAAGCGATTCTCTGCCCTGAGGAACAAAACTTTTGAAAATAATAATTTGAAATAAGACCCGAGTTAAAAACCCTTTTGGAAGCTCACAATTTTTTTTTAAAGATCTTCAAAGCCTATTCCAGCACTCAAAGCAGGTGGTACATTTTTGATCACAAATTCGGAAAAAGCTCAGAAACTTGCTAAGCAATTCTAGAACCCCCATAATTTTAGTTTGGGTATTACTATTGAGAATCAGGTTGCTCGGGATTATCTGAATATTTTCTCTTGGGAAAATATGTTTGATTATTCCTGGGGGACTGATTTGGACGAAGTAAGATCTAAAAATAAATAGTTTCATAATATGAAAGCTCCAGGTGATGATGAAATTTTCTATATCCTCATCAAAAAACTCCCAGAGAGTACCTTGTCGTTTTTGATAAATCTATTGATTATATATTTCTACTAGGCATACTTTTTTGATTAATGGAAAAACTCAAAAGTTGTTCCAATTTTGAGGCCGGATAAAAATCCAGCTGAAGCTTCTAGCAACCATCCAATAAGTTGGCTCTCTTCAATAATTAAACTTTTTGAAAAGATAATTTTGAATAGAATGATGCTTCACATTCGCTATGGGTAATCAACTACTCATCAACTCTTAAGAGTTACCAATTTAATTCGTGCAAACAAATCTGAAAGCTGCTCAACTGGAATTATCTTTCTAGACATAGAAAAAGCGTTGGACATGCAAGTTTGATTTCCAAATTCCAAATTTGAACAACTACCTGTCAGAGCAAGAGTTCCTCGGGGTAGCATTCTTGGGCCTTTATTGTTTAAAATTTTTATCTCCGGCCTCCCGAATTTGCCTCGGGGTTGCCACAAAGCTTTGTTCGCTGATGACAAAGGCATTTCCGCTTAAGGAAGAAGGCTTCGTGTTATTTGTAAAAGACTGCAGAACAGTTTAGGAAAATCTTTTCTTATTTACAAACAATGGAAGATTGCTCCCATTGCTTCCAATACTCAAGTTATAACATTTCCACATAAGCCTAAAGCTTCCTGTTTGAATCCTAGTAGGAGTCACATAGTCACTATGAACGGAGTTGCAATTTCTTGGTCAAGTCAAGTTATATATCTTGGATTAGTACTTGACCAAAAATTATCTTTTTAAGAACACACATTCGAGGCAAGTTTTTAGACCGGCCATGCTCTACGTTGTGCCAATATGGTCTAGTTGTTGCAATACCAGGAAAAAAGCACTTCAAAGGATTCAGAACAAAATTCTGAAAATGATTTTGAAGTTGCCTCCCTGGTACAATTCTATCGGGGTACATAGAATTTCGAATGTTGAGACATTAGAACAAATGTCAATCAAAATAATTAATGATTTCAGGCAAAAATCGTAGCAATCTTCAATTGAAACGATTGATTCCCTTCATAACCCGATAAAATTTAGTTGTAGTTTTTAGTTTTGAGATGTCAATTGTTATACAAACATGCAGGTATAGAAGACACGTTTAAAATACACTGGAGTCGCTTTTTACGCGGGTGATACGTCCCGCGTAAAAAAAAACCGCGTAAAAAAAAACCGCGTAAATTCCGGAATCCGCGTAAAAAAAACCGCGTAAATTCCGAAATCCGCGTAAAAAAAACCGAGTAAAAAAAGACCGTGTAAGAAAAAACCGCGTAAAAAGCGATATACCGCGTAAATTCTGAAATCCGCGTAAAAAAAAACCAAAATCCGCGTAAAAAAAAACCGCGTAAATTCCGGAATCCGCGTAAAAAAAAACCGCGTAAATTCCGAAATCCGCGTAAAAAAAAACCGCGTAAAAAAAAAACCGTGTAAAAAAAAACCGCGTAAATAGCGACTCCAGTGTACTGAAATGCCAAGGTAGGAACAATGTAAAAACACTTGGATATATATCATAACAATTAAGGCTGGTAAGTTACTGCAGTAGCCGGAGCAAACGGAAGAAACAAAGAGTTAACAAAAAACTATTAGCTCCAATTCAACGACGACAACACTGCTTGAAGTTCTTCTCATATTTTTTTAATCACTTCGAGAATTGTAGTTGCCGTTAGATTACCCTTATAATCCCATTTATATTTGGTTATAAATGGTTAAGGAATTTTCCTCAAGGAGTCACCCTTCTTCTCCTTTGTATATTACGTCCAACTGGAACTTTACGCCTCAACTTCAGTGTGTTTTTTTAGCACTTCGACATTTGTTGATTGCAGGGCTGCGGAGTTGAATCTAAATCGTCTGACTAAAACTCCTATGATTTTAAAACAACCGATTTCGACTCTGTCTCCGTCTTCTACTCCAACTCCGATGCCGACTCCGACTCTGATTCCAACTCTAACTCCGAATCTGATTCCAACTCTGACTCCGACTCTGACTCCGACTCTGACTGCGACTCTGACTCCGACTCTGACTCCAACTCTGACTCCGACTCTGACTCCGACTCTGTCTCCGACTCTGACTCCAACTATGACTCCGACTCTGACTCTGACTCTGACTCCGACTCTGACTCCGACTCTGACTCCGACTCTGACTCCAACTCTGACTCCGACTCTGACTCCGACTCTGACTCCGACTCTGACTCCGACTCTGACTCCAAATCTGACTCCGACTCTGACTCCGACTCTGACTCCGACTCTGACTCCGACTCTGACTCCGACTCTGACTCCGACTCTGACTCCGACTCTGACTCCGACTCTGACTCCGACTCTGACTCCGACTCTGACTCCGACTCTGACTCCGACTCTGACTCCGACTCTGACTCCGACTCTGACTCCGACTCTGACTCCGACTCTGACTCCGACTCTGACTCCGACTCTGACTCCGACTCTGACTTCCAATCTGACTCGCAATCTGATTCCAACTCTGACTCCGACTCTGACTCCGACTCTGACTCCGACTCTGACTCCGACTCTGACTCCGACTCTGACTCCGACTCTGACTCCGACTCTGACTCCGACTCTGACTCCGACTCTGACTTCAACTCTGACTCCGACTCTGACTCCGACTCTGACTCCGACTCTGACTCCGACTCTGACTCCGACTCTGACTCCAACTCTGACTCCGACTCTGACTCCGACTCTGACTCCGACTCTGACTCCGACTCTGACTCCGACTCTGACTCCGACTCTGACTTCCAATCTGACTCGCAATCTGATTCCAACTCTGACTCCGACTCTGACTCCGACTCTGACTCCGACTCTGACTCCGACTCTGACTCCGACTCTGACTCCGACTCTGACTCCGACTCTGACTCCGACTCTGGCTCCAACTCTGACTCCGACTCTGACTCCGACTCTGACTCCGACTCTGACTCTGACTCTGACTCCGACTCTGACTCCGACTCTGACTCCAACTCTGACTCCGACTCTGACTCCGACTCTGACTCCGACTCTGACTCCAAATCTGACTCCGACTCTGACTCCGACTCTGACTCCGACTCTGACTCCGACTCTGACTCCGACTCTGACTCCGATTCTGACTCCGACTCTGACTCCGACTCTGACTCTGACTCCGACTCCAACTCTGACTCCGACTCCCACTCGGAAAAAAAACACGGTTTGGCATTACTGCCGAAAGTTTTAAATCAGTCCAGAAAATTTAATACTTTCGCAAGTGAGCCTATCCTTGAGCGATTCAGCATTTTCCCTACTGAATTCAAGCTCATCTGAAGCTGAACACACGGATTCCGTGTTTCCAAATTCTTTTCCGAAGTGATTCTAAACTGTTCCAAAGCTCAGAAATGGTTCAGTTATTACAAACTGAAATCATTTCTGAACGTACTATTCAGATAGTTTTGAATCACTTTAGAACATGTCTGAATCTCTTTCGAGAAATGTTGTAATCTCTTCCGTAAGAACTGAATAATTTCGGAAAGAACTTAATCACTTCACAAACTTCGGAATGTACTGTATCAATTCTCTCATGATTACAGTCACTTCCTCAAGAATTGAATCACTTTTAATTAACTGAATTACTTCAGAAAAGTTTCGAATCCCTTCAAAATATATTTAATCACTTCTGAAAAATCAGAACCACTTTGGGGAGCACAGAATCATAAAAAAAAAGTTCAAAATCTCTTCGAACACTTAAGAAAATCTCGGAATCAGTTTTCTGAAGTGATTCAATACTTTCTGAAGTGATTCAATACTCTCTGAAGTGATTTTGAACTTCTCATTAGCTATTCAGTGCTCTCTGAAACGATCCAGTATTTTCAGAAGTGATACTGAACATTTCTGAAGTGATTAGCTACTTTTCGATTCGATAATCGATTTCGATTATTTATTTTCCGTGCTGAGCACCAATGCTACCGACGCCAGGAAGGTAGCTCCCACACCTGGATTCTACCTATCAACCCATCAACTTATGAACCGGGGACCAACGGCTTCACTTCCCTTCCGAGGGAAGGCGTGATCAGAGATGTTATGTCTCAGAATATCCCGGTGGCGCCGACTGGGATTGAACCCAGGCCTGATGGGGTGAAAGGTAATCACTACACCACCGGCGCCGCTATTTTTCAATTATTATCTTTAGTAATTCAATTATTATCTTAAGTGATTATTTAATACTTTTCGAAGTGATTCCGAACTGCAATGAAGCGACCCAGTAATTTTCGAAGTGTTTCCGAACTATTCTCAAGTGATTCAATACTTTTCGAAGTTATTTCGAGCTATTTTGATATCTAATCATTTTTAATCTAACATAAACACAGCCAGCTCTTGAAAGCATCCTGGAAAATGATGGATATACCTCCATAATTTTTCATGTCTATTTGATTTATGTTTCACATCGAAGATGCGTCACACATATCAAAACGGCCAGGCATACTGTGCAGCATTTAAGGGGCAAGATGATTCAGAAACATCGATGTTTCAGAACCCAATAAATGGATGAAACGTGGACATCTCGTACCGTACGTTCCGATTTTGGTAATAATATGATTGGTTGGTTGTTGGAAGCATCAAAGCTAGAAAGGTTAAGTGATGCTCCATTTTCTTCTGATGGTTGGGACCTAAGCACTAACTTTTGTCCTAGCCTTTCAGGACTTATGGCTATAGCGCCATTACACGCTTTCTGAAAAGTGAAGAGGGAAAGGAAAAGGAGAAGGACAAAGGGAAAAGGATTATGTAAACTCTATGAACATAAACAACATTTTTGATTTGAAATATACATATACAAGACCAACAATTGAAATGGACTCAACTCATTTTGTAAACAAACCTTGTAAGGCCATTTTCTCGCGAACCGAAACCTACATTCGGAAACCTAAACCACAATCGGGTAGAGGAGAATTTCCCCTACCTGTTCATTCTGTTGTTTTGCCTTGGCAGACTTCGGTTCGCGAGAAAATTGCCTTACAAGGTTTGTTTACAAAATGGAATTGAGGCCTTCTCATTTGTTGGTCTTGAACAGAAATGCATAACGGCGGTGATCACTACACGAGTATTGTCACTATCATCACACAAGTCATAAAAAGTAACAAGCACTAAAATGTAATCATTGGATTACTGGAAAATCCTGATTCCCCAGTTTGAAGTTTTCACGACAAGGCTTCGGTGGTAGATCTTATATCAGTAACGCACCACAAAAAGATGATCTCCCAACGTTACTGGTTTGATAAGATAAAAATTTACAAAATGGAACGAACGCACCAAGTTTAGCCAACTGAACCTGAAGGCTGCCTGACATGTGTTGATGTAGAAGTCCAAATTGTAGACGAAGCTTGACGAAAATCAACATGAACTTGTCCGGTTTATGGTAGTTGCGCGGAATTTCTTCCGTCGATTTGAGATAAACAAATGTTCGGATGTAGGGGAAATGTCTCTAATGTTGGCCTATGGATCTAAGATTGGGCCTGCTATTTATCAATTTTATCTAGATAAACGCGTTATTGGGACGTTACTAATGGATATTTTTGGTTGCTATTGAATATTTAGTCGATTGCTGAATTTATGTATGGGCCCAAATTAGGGACACTGAGGCCGACATTACCTGCATTTCCCCTATGTAGTCGATTTTTGATGTGCATTGGCAAGCCTTTTCGTGGCCAATGATGGGACGAATGATGGGACGAATGATGGGACGAATGATGGGACGAATGATGGGACGAATGATGGGACGAATGATGGGACGAATGATGGGACGAATGATGGGACGAATGATGGGACGAATGATGGGACGAATGATGGGACGAATGATGGGACGAATGATGGGACGAATGATGGAACTAATGATGGGACGAATGATGGGACGAATGATGGGACGAATGATGGGACGAATGATGGGACGAATGATGGGACGAATGATGGGACGAATGATGGGACGAATGATGGGACGAATGATGGGACGAATGATGGGACGAATGATGGGACGGATGATGGGACGAATGATGGGACGAATGATGGGATGAATGATGGGACGAATGATGGGACGAATGATGGGAAGAATGATGGGACGAATGATGGGACGCCTCGTGGAGGTTCTACTTGGCTTCGGAACAGCTTCTCAGCGGCAAATAATAGGGACTGAGGAACTACCCAAGTAACACTTGCAACATCATTTATGAAAAATGTAACAAATCCCAGTTGTAAATAAGTTATATATTGCCCTAGTAGCACGCTTGTCACAAATCAATTGTAGAAACTTATATGCGACTTATTTTAGTCATAAACAAGTTGCTGTAACTTATTGTGATGAAAGTGTGCTACTCGGGTGATTGGTTAGAAAACATCTCGTTGTAAACCCGGTGTATTGTTGTTTGTGAAGTAACTTTTTTGACAGGCACTTGTTATCTTGAGGTTATAATTCGGTATTGCATGACTCAATTACCTGTTTATAACACATTTATAACTGATATTATTTGGTGAAAACTTGCTGGCCTTATATACAACATGTTTTCAAATGTAAGTTTTAGAATCATGAGCAAACATGAATACATCTTGAATGTAACTTATTTATAACATGTTGTAACAGCTATATTGCAGTTCCATTCAGGTTTCCAAACATAATATATGAGACATGTTGTATATATGGCTAGGAAGTTTAATCAAATACAGTCAGTTATAAATGTGTTATAAATAAGTAATTGATTGATTTGGTTGTTCGACTGGTTTTATGGAGATTTCGTTTTTATGGCTTTCTCAGTCTAGGGTAATTCAAACAATTAGTTTTAAGTAATTGAGAGATGCAAAACCGAATTTTAACTTCAATATATGATACAAGTAATGTTCTAGTTTTTCATGTTATAAACATGTTTTGATAACAATTATTTCATTTCTAGATGTTTTCTACAAATTGCACTGCAATATGGCTGACCGATGAAGCAAAATATAGAATGAAAAAAAGAAACTTTCAGTTGTGCTTTCAACATCCCATTGACATTATGTTGGAAAAAAAGTATGATAATCAAAAAAAAGGTTGAAAATCTGTTTGTTTAGCTAAAAGTTTAATGTTTTCGAAATAAAGGAATTTTATACAGAATTTTTGGTATTGAATTGTATCAAGCTTTTTCTAAGAGCCAATGAATTTTTATAAAGTAGAATGTAAAATTCAATTCGCCATAAATTTTCAACCGCACAAAAGTTTTTGAATACTGAATCTCAGTTGATGCACTTTATTCTCACAATAAAATCCACCCCCTACCCCCCCCCCCCGCCCTACAATGATGATGGGAAAATGAACAAATGCAATTCGTTGGAAGGATTTCATTCATTTAGAACATCTTCAAAACAGCAGTTGCGTTATAGTCATACATAAGTTTCGCAAGTCATTCATATATAGCATGACATATGTGATATATAGATCCCACCTCTTGCGCTTTTTTTGCTATAAATGAGTTGAATATAAGCGAATAGACGTAAATTTTCACAGCTGATATTGTCATATATAAGTTATGTAAACCAGTTTATGACAAGCTGAGTTGCTTTGGTAGAAATTGTCCCTGGGCCTGGTTTTGGCCAGATCCGTATCACTTGGGCTATTCCAGAACAACCTAAACTTTATATCTACGGAACAGCTGTGGAGAAGGTTGGTACTCTAGAATAGGGGCTGTTCATTAACTACGTTGACAGTTTTTTGGGATTCTTAACCCCCCCCCCCTGCGTAGACAATTGTCCATACATTTTTTTAATTTGTATGGGCTGTGGATAATTGTCACCGGGGGCCCCCCTTTACCTGTCTACGTAGTTTATGAACAGACCCATAGCAGTGCCGTGGTCCTTTGGGTGGTTGATCGAAGGATCTTGTGCCTTCCAGTGTGCGGCAGGCAGTCCGTTTTCAGCCACTTTTAAATCTAAGTATGGGAACAAGCTGCCCTTTTCTTCGATTGACTGAATTGTAAATATCCGTAACAATGTGAAACGATCTCAGCAATGCTTGTCGATAGCGGATCTTCTTCCGATGTTCCATTCACAAGCGGATCTTCTACCGATGTTTCATTCAGCACCCAACCAATCAGTAACTGTTGGAGTCTTTTTGAATGCAGGGTTCACGCAAACCAAAAATTTATTACAATGAATGTTAGTTCCATTTCCTATCATCCTCTGTTCATGAACATCGCAGCGAATGTTAGAAGTTGACCTTGCAGCATTTGCCTTGATTTTTATGTATAACATGGCAGAACTACGCACACACTTGCCTCGAATCTCTCCAGCAGAAAAAGCATACGAAGTCAAGTGTGAGAGGAAGTGAGCGCTTGTTGTTTGCTTTTAGGCTATCCACATTCAGGAGCATGGAGAGAGCAGTGGAGAAAGCACAGGTCTGATAATCACAACGTTCGTGGTTCGAGTCCCAGTCGGCAACCTTTTTCCAATTTTTTTCGACATAATTCATTTCACTCACTAATACACTCAACATTTTTCGGTCTCCAATTCTCTTGCATTGGACCACAGCTAGGTATATTGCATCCTCGGTTCATGCGGTCTCCACTTACATCCTCTGATGATGAATCCCACATAATTGTAAACTAATCTTACATCCACCGGTTGGGTGTTTCGATTGAAATCAATGGAAAATTAACTTTCAGTCCGTTTCACTGTATCCGTTTCAATAAAATTCACTAATTCCCACTAATTCCCATTGAGTTTTCACCTAACATCCGTGAAACAAAAATAAAACACCTTATTTCGAGCTATTTTGACATGATTTCAAACTTTTATTAAGTGATCAAATACTTTCCGAAGTGATTCAGAACACATTTGATGTGAGTAAATGCTTTCTGTTGTTATTCAAATTATTTTACAGAAATACATATGTGCGGGTTTCTACTAGTGTAGTTGCATTGAGCTTGGTTTCATATAAGTATCAGAAAAAAATTAAATAAATTAGAAACACGTTCAAAAAAAGGTTGAGTGTACAGGCATTTAAAAATTCTCTCCCATACCTCACCGTGAAAGAATTTTGAATATGTCATCATGTTAAAATTTCTATCTCTAGCCACTAAGTAGCGCCAACTTTTGTCCGTCAATAAGGTTTTGCACTCTCTAGCTAATAACTTATCACACTAAAGCTTCATGTTAGATAGCATTTCCAGCCAACTCTGAAAATCACCAACTTCGCGTATGAAGTAACATAAAAGCACTTTGATTGTAACAGTTCAAGGCGAGAGTAGCCGTCAACAATGCTGATGAAAACGTAACAACGTAACAACCACCCTACTGCTTTCTCTCTGAGATGACTACGTTGGTCATGACGTAGAGGAGCAACACAATAGTTGGGTAAAGAAGAATTGCATTATAACCAAGAAATCAAAAATATCTCCAAATGACAAAATGACAAGCGATCATCGAACCGAATGATAACGCTACGTCAGAAGTGGAAAGCAATAATGATATAATCTTCTTCTTTTTATTTCATGACAAGCAGCCCTTGCGACACAGCTTACTCGGGCGATAGAAGGAAACGAGCAAATTGTTGGCAAGCTACTTCAAGAAGTAAAGCCGAAGATGATACACGTGTGTTAATGGGATTTTTTTTTGTTATGTATTTTCTCGATTCAGATCAAGTTATGTCCTCATCCGTGTCTATTGCAACAAAGCAGGCAAGCAATATATCATTATCCTTCTACCACTCTGATCAAGCTATGTTACAGAGCGAGTTTATCATGATAGGCTTAGCAACCATTTTGTCTGTATCGATGGTTGCTTTATGTGTTTGGATTCGCTGATTATAACTACATCCCTGGCAAGACTAGTACTCGCTGAAGCAGCCACCGATGTTGGTGGTGTTAGAGTTGACAACACGTTTTTAAGCTACACTCATGTGTGCCGCATGGTTATATCATAGAGGTAACTCTAAGACCAGAAGGTCCCGAAGAAGCGTGCTCTACTTTTTGGCTCAGTTGGCATCGGTTGGTTATATTGCGTTAAAAAATTATGCCTGTGTTGTAATGCTGCTATCACATCCAATTAAAATGCACTTCATTTTTAGGCAACGATAATTCGTGTTCAACACCGTAAACCTATGACACAACAAAGATTTAAAAAATCCTTCCCGCCGCTCGCGACAAACTTTCCTAACAACGTATCACGCATGAACAGAGCTTGCTTGCGAATATTTGCAGCTGCTGTCAAATGTTGATGTAAAATCGAACCAGAGAACCAGGATTTTTCGGTTCTCACAAAGTATATGGGAATGACATTTGTGTCATAGATGTGATTATAACACACCATCGACTGGAAATGCTTTCGGCAACGTGGGGCTTTTGGGGTGTTTACATCTGTGTGGATTTACTCGCGCTATTTCGCCAACTAGCACGAATTTCAGTTGGTCCTGAAATTTCATGCTGGTAGACGCTGATGCCCGGTTTACATTATGCTGGTGAGCGTTTTTGCTAGCAGCGAGCTCATAGCGCTAGTGAACTAGCCTAAGTGTAAACACCACATTTGGGTAGAGATGAAACGTCGCTAGAACTATTCCACAGTTGCACGCAGTATTTGAGCAAAGGTAGAGGCACACTTTTTGCCTGTAGATTTGAAGACATACTTCAAATCTCCGCGTACATCGTACGGGTTAGGCAAAGAGTGTGCGTTAGACTTGCACTGCCGCATTAATGGCCCTTCGCTCATTTTCAACTTTTATTCAATTTTCATACTGCCGTATTCTAACGGAACTATCTACCTACTCTCTTCTAAGATCATTCTCTATCGGTTCATGTTGCCAGCCATTTTAAATTTAACATATTTTCAATGTTTTCCCTGAACGTGTATGTCAGGGGTGCTAGCCCTTTTCAAATGTATCAATTTTGATCAATTCTTCGCTGAAAATGTGTATGAGGGGCGCAAGCCAGCCCAAAATATTTTTTATAAATTTCTTCCTGAACGTATAGGGGCGTTAGCCACTTTAAATTTTACGATTTTGATAATTTTTCACCTGAACATGTATAACCAGTTGGTTACAATCCGTGGATTTTCGTCTGTATGAGTTATTGTTGTTTGGAAAATTCACGTATTTTAAGATCAAACCCAGAAGGCACAGTAGCGAGAGGGTTAGTGCCGCTGCAAAACACTCGAACGATACTAAAAGGAGGAAAATCGTAGACTGAAGCTGAAAATGGAGAATGGTCGGCAAAAGGCATTAGATTTTTTTACAGGAGTCAGTATTTTTTACTGGGTTTTTGAATTACTGAAAAACTCGGTTAAAATTAAAATGACCGTTAGTCGTAAAGATTCGATAAAATTGAAAAATTTTATTTTTCATCATTAAACGTGTTTAACAGACGTAAGTCTGTAAATTTTCGTAACACATTTTTGCATCTTTAAAAGTTTCACATATTTTTTTAAATTTTACCGAACTCGGTAAAAATTACTGACTGGATACGTGTGTACGAGTGGCCATCTTCTAAAAAAGACCTTCTAATGAGGAGGAGTAGTCAGGTGTCACCTCCTTGTGGGGTTTGGGCTGGAAAGCCTGCCTCTGTTCAAGACCTCGTACCTCGTACCGTAAATGTCTCACTGTCTCACACGGCTCGGCTCGGAAGTCAAGATGGCTTCCGAGCCTAATAGTAAATGATCCTCGATCGTCCGTCTGAGACGATTCCCTCAGGCCAGTGGCCTTAATTGCCAAGGAGGGTCCCGTCTCGGCTCGACCAAGATGGCCATGCCACGGTCAGCCGATGCCGTGAATGACGGAAGACGCCTGCCAGCCAAACGAGCCAGCAATGCCTGCTGAGCCGTATGTGGCTGTTCAGCAATGAAACGCTGTTTGGAGCCCGCGTCGCAAGTCTCCGGCCACACGGTAGTGCAGGAACAGCCGTGTGAGCCAACCCCAGCGTCGCGACGTCATAGGAGATCCCGCTGCAGCAGTGAGTACAGTGCCAATTTTAAACCCTCGCACACACGCCACATATATGTGAAAACCCACACCCACACGCCACAGAAAAGGTCAATAAATGTTTCAGAAAATGTGAATGTTCCTGTGTTTTCATACTTTGTCCACGTAGCCTCTCCGAATACCCAGTAACATGCCGGCCCTGTGACACAGTTCAGGGGTCTCATGGTACTGAGCTAGTTATCCGGGAGTGTTTGGTCATGCCTTTTTTGCCTGATCATGTCTAGCAGAAGCGCAAGTCATTTCTAATAAACCGATTTTTAATATTTCACCTGAACATGTATATCAGAGACGCTAGTTATTATAAAAAAAAAAACATTTTTTACAATTGTTCTGGGGGAAAGGGGCGAAAGTGAAGGCAACCGACTTAAGTGTAGTGTATTTTTAATATTTAACATTTTCGGTATAATTTCGGTAGCGCTGTCGACCAGACAATTTTCATTTTTTAAACAATAGCATTCTCATATCAAGACTATCCGGAAGCTTGGTCTCAAGCATCCCGTTAAATCTAAACCGTTCATCAAATTGCCACGGGCGATCCTCGGGTTGGAAACTTTGGTCAGAACTTTTGTTTCCCCGTTGTCGGTGCTGATTGTGTCGCATTTTTTTCCCTCGATAGCGCACGGGTACGGGGTAAAGTGGAAACAAGCTGAAAGGTAAGCGAAAACGAACTTTGCTATTTAGCGGCGGTAAAAGTGTGGTGACTGCTCGAGAACCATCACCAACCAACCAACCGAAAGGGACAGAAGGAAGTTTTGTTTTCCGCAGCAGATCCACCAGTGGTGTACTTTCAGTGTCAGAAGATACTTGTGGTGGTGGTGGTGGTGCTGGGAAAGACAGGACACAACCGTTAGCCGGAGGATATTTATGCACTTTGTTTTGAAGTGGTTAAGCTATTTTCTCTTGTCACCTTTATCGGGAACGTGCCGGATGCTAAATGTACCGGGAAACTTGATTCCCCTTGGGGGAGGAGCTGGTGTGACACTGCTACTGCTACGAAAATATCATATTGGGAAGATAGTCACTTGTCTTGCTTAGGAGTGGTTCTACAATAGCAGATATGTATGTGAGTTGTTTGGTTGCTGTACTCAAAGTGGGACACGAGTATCATTTAAATGTAACATGTCAAAGGATGGAGGGAAGGTGGCTTTCTGGTCAAAAATTTAAAGTATTAAATTTGTGAATGTGTGTGCTTACCTGCCCCTGGGTAGCCCAGTGATAGAAGACAGCCATCGGATCCTTCCAGCACCGCCGGGATCACCTCCGAAAGTGCACTTCCGCAAATGTCATGCTGAAAATAGAGAAAAATGAAAAAGATTTCATTTTGAAAAGATTTGTTAAACAACCCCGTATAAGCACGTAATCGCAAATGATAATTATAATTAATGTCCGTTTCCAACGCGCTAATGTCGATATGAGCCCTAATAATGAAAGATCAAACCGTGTCTCATCATCCCTCACAGAAGCTTCTTAGCCATGCTAACGACCCGGAGATAAAAATAACCCAAAAGTATCCATTCCAAGCGGTCGGCCGGAGCGGTAAGCGGTGAGGTGATATAAACTTCGAAACCAGAAACTGATAGCAGCAGTTTGGTATTTGGATCACGTTTTTCATTAGCCAACTTTCTGTCAACCTGTTTCCTGTACCGTTTCTTGCCGCTTCTCGTTGCTCCCAAATGGTCAGCTTCCTACCTCAGCTTTGAGATACTAACGACGAGGATGACGTCGATACTATTTTTCATCATTATCATACCGTGTCGCGCCCCGGATTAATGCTTTCCTTCCTTCGCCACGGCAACGATGACGACGATGATGACGATGGCGGCGACACTACAGGTGTCTCCTTGGCATACTAATAATTTCGCAGGAAGGTGTCACTATGGCGATGTCACCCCATCGATCCTTTTGCAGAAGCATCGAAGACAGATGGGAGGGATATTACTTTCCCTTCGAGCGAGCAGAGCGTTTTTACCTTTATCCGTCCGCTTGGGAGAGCAACTCCTAGGAGCTCGTTATTAGATTATGCTTGCCTGGATTTCTTTCGAAACCATCAGGCTCAAGTGAGTGTTGGAGTGCAAAGTTCAATCAGCTATTCTGCTGAGCTGACTGCAAACACTTCCATCGATGTCGTCGAACGGGGCAGCAGAGGATGATGATGTTGATCGTGCACGTTGCCGCCGTCTCCTTTGCACGTAATGAAGACGATAGGAGAAAGAGCTTTGCCATCGTGATTAAAATAACGCTTCGGTGTCACGTTCTTAAATTATCAATATTTATAGTATCGGAAGCGTGTACCGTACTGCGATCCGTTGACATCGTCGGTGACATGGTTGGAGAAAATCGATTTGCCGCTTTAAGTCTGGGTGCACTCGCTTTAATGCACTCCAGTAATCAGCGGGGAACAAAGTCGAAAAGTTACTGTGCATAAATCAAGATGCTCACTTGACCACCACTCGTCAAATTTACACTCCATTAACTTCGTACTAACATAACCCACATGGTTGACCATTACGTGTTTGGGCACGGCACACACACTCTATGCCTCTAATGCTAATGAATGGGTGCGATTGCTTTCAATCAATTATTCACCCTCATGGTCTGGGATCGATTTTCGGGAAAAGTAAACAAAGGGGACTTGCTTGGCACTTCCGAGCGGAATAATTGCACAATGTTGTAGGTAGTTTGTTCTGCGAACAGTGTTGGGCCGTGCTGCAAACGGTTTCATGCTGCTCATAAATATGTGGGACTTTGAATTATCGGTTAATGGTGCGTTTAAAAGTTGAAAAGTGACTCGAAACTTGTTGAGAACATGGGGCAATTTTCCAATATGTTGGAAGTATAATAGCGTCATACGGCGGGATCAGGACTGGCATTGGAGCACAAATCAAGAGGACTAGGGCTGCATTTGTAAGTTGATGATATATCAATACTAAAAGTTATTAAAAGTTAATGGGTTGGTAAAAACAAAGTTAAAAGACAGAGCTTACCGACATAAAAGATATAAATATTGTGATATTTTAGATGAAATTTCAGAGTCACTTATTTAAGTATTCGTTATCAACGACCTTCTTCGCGGCACACTTTAAAATTTTCACTCCACAGTTCTTAAAAGATTCCAAATCGGCTCCTAAAGTCTGTTCCAGTTAGTATTTAACCGCTATTTTTAATTACTGTAGCGCCTCTAGTTGTCGTTACAAGAAACTATTGACAGCGTTTTGATCTCGTAGTGAAAATTTCATCAGGATTCATAAACTTGTTCAAAAGTTATCAAAGATGGAACGTGACAGACTTGAATAAATTCTGAACACTCACATTTTGATTGACGATGAAACTTACGTAAAAATGGACTTTGGACAAATCCCGGGCCAATTTCTTTTACTTTGCTAAACGTAAGGGGGATACTCCGGATGAATTCAAATTTGTCTTGCAGATAAATTCGCTCGCAAGTTGATGATTTGGCAAAGCATCTGCAGTTGCGGAAAGAAAACAAAGTTTTTCATCACTGGAGCGACTATGAGTGGACAACTTTACAAGGAGGAGTGTCTCCAGAACATAATTTTGCCGTCCATTCAATCTCACAAAGGTCCCGTAAAATTCTGGCCTGACTTAACCAGCTGCCATTACAGCCGCGATGTCATAGAATGGTATAAGCAGAATAATGTCGATTTTATTGAGAAAAGTATCAATTCACCAAATTGTCCAGATTTTCACCCCATTGAAAATTTTTGGGCAATTATCAAGCGCAAATTGAAGAAATGTGACAAAACACCATCTGATTTGGAGAAGTGGTGGAAAATGATGGTACACAGACAAACTGACGTAACTCTTCATTGTGAATCTTGGTTCATGCATTTAACGGTTGATTTGAATATTATCAGTTCCGCGAACGACTCGCCGCAGCGCTGGCATCGGATCACTTTGACGTTTCTATATATTCTATAGAACTTTTATGCAAAATTGTTTACGAGTTAGCGAGCACGCTTGTTTTCCGCGAGAAGGCAGAGAGATGTCGTTACTGAGGTTATATGTTTTGAGATACTATGTTTTCAAGAACAAGTTTTTTCTAAGAGTTACGTCTGTTTGTCTGTGGATGGTAGATGAGGTTGACAGTACTACTGTGCAAGATACAATGAGAGGTATTCCGCGAAAAGTTCGAAAATTCATCCGAAAAGCTGACGAATAATTTTTGTTATATTTTCCCGTAAAGCTAAATAAAAATCTTACAAAATGATACCTTTAGCGCTTTTGTGCTTTAAAGGGTGATACGGTCAAAATTTGGTCAAGGGAAAACGCGTGTAAATCGGTGAAATCGTTTATTTAAAAAATCAAATTAAATTTTTTTTTCAAGTTCAATTAGTATAAAATTCAGGAAAAATATTCAGTTAGGCTTCCGCTTTTCCAAATCCGAATTGCCGGGCCTTACGCTTGACTCCTGCCATCAGATTTTGTACAGCCACCTTGTCCACCTTCCTCGCCGCAGAAAGCCAGTTTGCCTTGAACTGCTGCTCGCCCTTAGCAGTTTTTTTGGTCTTCTTTAGGTTCCGCTTGACAATAGCCCAGTACTTCTCAATTGGTCGGAGCTCTGGCGTGTTGGGAGGGTTCTTGTCCTTGGGAACCACCTGCACGTTGTTGGCGGCGTACCACTCCATGGCCTTTTTACCGTAATGGCAAGATGCCAAATCCGGCCAAAACAGTACGGAACAACCGTGTTTCTTCAGGAAAGGCAGCAGACGTTTATTCAAACACTCTTTCACGTAAATTTCTTGGTTGACAGTCCCGGAAGCTATGAAAATGCTGCTTTTCAAGCCACAGGTACAGATGGCTTGCCAAACCAGATATTTCTTTGCGAACTTTGACAGTTTCATGTGCTTGAAAACATCTGCTACCTTTCCCCTTCCTTTTGCCGTATAAAACTCCTGTCCCGGAAGCTGCTTGTAGTCGGCTTTGACGTAGATTTCGTCGTCCATTACCACGCAGTCAAACTTCGTCAGCATCGTCGTGTACAGCCTCCGGGATCGCGCTTTGGCCGTCGTATTTTGTTTATCATCGCGATTTGGAGTCACTACCTTCTTGTAAGTCGATAGTCCGGCTCGTTTTTTGGCTCGATGCACGGTTGTAGACGATACACCCAGCTTATTTGCGGCATCTCGCAGAGAGAGGTTAGGGTTTCGCTTGAAACTACCGGCAACTCTCTTTGTCGTCTCAGCGGCTTCCGGTTTTCGATTTCCCCCCGATCGACTTCCTGGCTGTCGACAAACGTTCCCCAAACACTTTAATTACATTTGTAACGGTTGATTTGGCAACTTTTAGCGATTTTGCCAACTTTGCGTGCGAGTAGCTCGGATTTTCGCGATGCGCGAGCAAAATTTTGATACGCTGCTCTTCTTGCTTGGACGGCATTTTGACAACTGAAGAGTGAATTCCAAAATCAAAATAGGAGCAACATTCTACACACACACACCTTCAAAATGAGGGGTGTCCAGACTATTTGATGTTTCTATGGGAAATCCAAATTTAGTTTTATTACTTTATAGCCCTTTTTCGATACACTAAGAGTATTTTTATTGAAAATTTCCAACAATAATAATTATCGCACTTTCTCTCAGAGCAACACACTAAGATTATTACACCAAAATCTATGAATGTTTACCGACATCTCAACAGCAGAACGTTCACTAAACAGTTCGGTGATTTTCACAGTATTCCCGTAATCTTTCACAGATATTCGAAGAAAACTGTGAAAAATCACCGAACTGTGTAACGTACCGTATCTGTTGAGATGTTGGTAATCTTAGTGTGTATATTTCTTTTAAAGAAAGTGCGATAATTATTATTGTTGGAAATTTTCGCATCTATTTTTTTTTGTTGAATCGGTTTTAGTCAATCGACAAATCAAATAGTTATTAATTATTTAGGAGATTGGTAATCTTATGATATGTTCAACCAGCAGCTTTGTGGGCAACACTAACACAAATATCGGAACGGTTTGTTTATCCTGCTTGGAAATCGATTTGGAAAATTCCTCTTCGATCCTTCGGATTCTTATAGTCATTTGATTGGAAGTAGATTTGGAGAAACGTTTTACTGCCACCCTGATGCCTAAGCGCAATAGAAAAGGGCAATCTCTTGAACCTCCTTCTGATAAAATTTATTTAGATTAATATGCTCACTGATGATAAGAATGATCCATCATCCAGCCAAAATTCAAGTAAACATTCCTGGCTTAATGCCAAGAAAGAAATGATCCCCCTATTTTGATAACCACTTCCGATTTGCATGCTCTTCGCACGG